AGTCCGGCTTTTTGGTTCCATGAGTACTTGGTAAGCATATTACTAGGATACAAACTATCCTATGACCAATACTAATACCTCACTGGAATTTTATTCAACTCAATATACACCTGCAACTTAAGGAACTAAGCGGTTCAGTAAAAACTACAATTTTTAAAGTGCAAAATCACTAAGAAAAGGTCCTCCCAGCCCCCATTTTGACCAAATCCCATATTCCCAGCCTAGCTCAAAACTCAATCCCTTTTCAATTTGTTACTGTTTTTTGGGGAGTTTTTAAATCCCATTCCCAGTACAAAACAATCCCATTCTCCCAGCTCAAAAAAAAAAAAAAAAAAAGAAAGAAAGAAATCCTAGCTCCCATTTTACCCCTTCAGGACCCTCCTAGGACACGTTTATTGCTTGTTTCAGGAGAAATGCAAATTAACCATGCACGGGAACACGGGAAACCTTCTAGGGTGCAAACATTGGAATCTTGGAAGAAGAGACTAGTTTAAAAGATCAAATAGGACGTTTGCATGATGGCGTCATTGACCATCATGAGGTAGGGAATACAAATATAAATGAGAAAGAAAATTCGCGAAGCATTATGGTAGTGGGAGTCAAATGGCGCCATCATGGATACGTCCTATTGGAATAAAGTTATTTATCAGAAAAAAGTTAACATATAATCCCTGTATTATCAACGCTCCATTAGCGTAATATATTATATACTTATTGTGTTCATCCGAGCCCATTATGGCAGATTTTATAGTCGTCGAGCATTTCTCTGCTCAAGTTAAAAAATGACAAAGCATGCAACGCGGAAAGGCTAACATTGTTGTTAGGGGCATGGGCCCGGTTGTACGAAGGGTGGATAGCGCTATCCGGCGGATAAATCCTCATCCAGTGGATAAGTCGATGCTGTTATCCAATGAATTTATCCACTGGATAAGATGTATCCGTCGGATAATGCTATCCACCATTCGTACAACCGGGCCCTGGACACCAGTGAGTTGCCATAGCAACCACAGTTTGTGCATTTTGATGTTCGATATTTTGAAAACAAGCATACTGCAAAGTTTGAATGACATTCATMAAATAATCTCACATATATACCAGGGTGCCAATGGGGTTTGTAGTAAGCTGACAATTGGCCAAAAAAAATAGTAGTTAACTGACGAATAACCTATAATAAGCCTGAAGCGAGATGACGTTTTACCCCCGACTCTATACCATAATAGTTTCTAAAATTCTTTCATATTAAAATTTTTGATTCCTTAGAGAATACAGGAACAATAGTCATAATTAAAGAACAAAAGCAGTGCGAAAAGGAGTCTAGAGACGGGGGTAAAACGACATCTCGCTTCAGGCTTATTAGTAGTTAACCGTCAACAGACATTTCATTATTTTGGCTAATATTATGGCCACCGCTGTAAAATTATTACAGTTAATTGACATTCGGCCAAAAAATTAGCAGTTAACTGACAAGGGGGTACCCCTATAGACCTCTTCATCTCTGACGCAATGTTTCCCCATTTCAGATCACGTCATTCCCTAGAGTATCATTTCTTTGTTTAAGGTTTGCGCTTGGTTGCACATGAGAAGACACATGAATATGGACACAGCTCAAACAAGAGAATATGAACTAAGAGAAGGAATCCTACCTATATAGCCTTGTAACCATCATGTGCACAGTTTGATGCTATTTTTAGCTTGGAGATATTTTGAGCGAAGAACCTGATTGGTTGATTTCTTGAGGGTAGGCGGCTTTCAGTCTTGCAGTAAACAAAACCTGTGTTTTTGTCATGGACGTAGCGAAATAAGGCGCTTTTCGTGTTCTAAAACGAGGCATTAAAGGGAAGCATGATTATCGCGCGGGCATGGTAACGAGTTAAAAATAGCATCAATGATTATAAAAATAGCATCAAAGTGTGCACATGATGGGACACGGGGATTCCTTCTTTTAGTTCATTTTCTCCTGGCTCAAACAAAGAATCTTATTCTCAAGGGAGTGACACGTGGTCTGAGATGGGAAAACATTACCCCAAGCCGAAGAGGTCTATTGGGACCATCATATACTGAAATCTATGTTTAAGGAAACTGTGAGTTGACAATATGACGTCATCAGGCTTCTAAAAAATTAAATATCTCTAGAGCCAAAAATGCTAGCTAGAAAAGCAAAGTACTTTAGAGGTAAAAAATCGAGAGATTAACTAATTTCACCGTAGTGGCACTTGAAACAATGTTGGGCGAGGAGAAATAGCTCCGAGGGAGTCTAGGGTTGGGGAAAATGTTTTCTTTCCCCTTTCTCCTTTTGCTTCCCTCAGGGTATATAATATCGCATTCGCTCGCTGAAACAGAGTATATGAAAGCACGCTAGCTCTCTCTCTCTCTTTCTCTCTTGAACAGGGTATCTATTTTCGCAAGTACCGGAACAGGTTTTTTTATACAACAGGGTTTGGTTTTCAGCGATTTTACTCTGGAACAGGGTATGAATTTCAGCGATTTTACTCTGAAACAGGGTCAGGGTTCAAAAGGGCTCAGCGGCACATCCCTACCCTAAACGGGCCAGACCCCCCTTTCCCCTCTTTCCGGGTAACTGAGCCGGTTCACCGACAAACTTCCACCACTTAGGCTCATGGGCATAGGTACACAGGCAGCCCAAAACAAAAGAGTGTGTCTAAACACTTTAAAAGCAACAGTTTATTTGCTCCAACTTCTTAGAATTACAATATTCATAACGAAATAAAAAAAAGGAAAAAGATTAAGATTTTAGCTATCTGCAATAAATATAAGGGCCAAAATGTACAGTCTGTAAAATTTCTGTGTATTGTTGTTTGTACAATCTCCTGCCGGGTGACGTTTAGTCAGTGGAATCTGAAGCACTTCCGGTGTTTTTACTATACTTCATTTCCCACACGAGACGACTGTAATCACGAGGAGGCACGAGAATTATAAGGACGAATTTGTGCTTTCAGTGCTTTCTCGATCTGCCATGTGAACCACAATAGATTGAACCTGGGTCTTATAGTCTCAAGGATATCCATGATCCCCTTATGGCTTGTTTAAGATAGTGGGGAGAGCCGTCCCCTCCCCCCCTCCCCCTCGAATTCCTACGGAAAATCCTAGCTAGATAGCTTTTCACGAAAACTTTTTATGTTCTTTCACCTAGTATAATATTTGACGGTCGTCGATTCGTTTCTTCACCCAGGGCTGGTCCCATTTTAAAATAAAATAAGAATAAAAAATAAAAAATATCTAAAATATCGATCTATCAAGAGCGTTTTTCGGTTCGTTTCTACGTTTTCTATTTTCTCTTTTTTATTTTCTTATTTTTACTTCGTTAAGATACCTAAATCATTATGAAATATCAAACGATTTCGCGTGCATTTATATTTCGTCACGAATTATTATTCCAGCTACATGCCATGACGTCATCCTTCCCCTATTAGCACGAATCAACGAATCTAAGCGGTGTCTAAAACGGATTTTTACGAAGCTGAATCCCGTAATGAGATACAAGGAAATGATTTTATTTCAACAATTTGACTCTCCCATTCCAATAACCAGATCGCCTGTTACGAGATGAAATAGTCACCGCAGCTACGTGGAAATTGTGCGTGACAAGTCTAGCCATTCCGTGAAAACCCTGACCACGTGATCAGACAAATCGAGGACAGCTGTCAGAGTCTCCAGACAGACAGTCGGTGTGTTTGCCACAATCTAACGAACTTATTCGCTTTTTCTTTCGTCCCTCTGCTCTTAAAGCGCGTATTCTACAAGATTTGGATTGTGGATTTTGCGATTGGACTGTTTGGAAGAGAATTGGAGGTTTTTCGTGGTGGAATAGTTTGAATATCATTGATCGCCCTCGTTTCCTTCTCACATCTTACGTGGACGGATCCCAAAGTCATATTGGGTCGAACTCGGGGCTTTTTCTAGTTCTGTCACTCCTCAGAAAACAAACTACTGCCCAAACCAAGAATATTTCCATGGTAGGTAAGCTATTTTGTACATTATTTACACTGTAGTTTGTATTTTAGGACCGAATAGAAAAAACCGTGCCAAACCGCACGGTTTCAATCCTACGTGAATGTAAGCAAAATAATACGTAACGACTCTTTATGTCAAAGCCTATTTTTAGCCTTAAAATATAGGTAAGACAAAATTTTAACTTACCTTTGGTAAAGTATAGCTAAAACTCAAGGAAATATTGCGTGTTTTGTGTTTATTGTACTGTTTGTTTGTTTGTTAGTGTTTTTTGGTGTTTTTCGAGCAGGAAAGAAAGACGTGCAAATACTCACGTTTTCACAGCCGCGATCCAGTCATGCGTGGTTGGTTTGTTCTCTTGAACTTTGTTATCGACACAGACCTCTAGAAAACCGGAACTTTTTATCCAAGATTCTTCAGTCGTATACTTCCGATTATTTCGTGATATTTTCGTCTCTTTTCTCGCATAATTCCTTTAATCAAACTTTGTACAAAATTTCTCTGTCTGACAGAAACAGAATCAGATTTAACACGTGAAAGATGGATGACAAGATAGGAAAATGCACGTGTTGGCACTGCGTTCAAATATCAAAAAGAGAAAGAGTAAGGATCGGATTTTAACTGAGATATTTTGACAATATATTACAGGACACAAAACATCAGATTAGGCTTATTTAGACTAGAGAATGAAGTAAAATAATTCATGGTTTTTCGTTACCGATTCCTCGTATTTTTGATTGATTTCAACGGGATTAAAATTCCAATCTTCTCAAATATTCATTTTCACTGGCGTCATATGCAATTGTGTTTTAGAGTATTTTAATGCTTCTAAAAGCCTTATAGACTGAATTTTTTAATATTTCTTAACGCATCCGTTTTTCAGTGTTTTACGCTTTCAATATTGAACTAATACTTAAATATTTAGAGCAAAGAATTATCAAAAATAACAATAGGAATAACATTCATAGGAAAAATACACCCAATGGTATTCACTTAAAGGATCATCGGTAATAAAGAATAACAGCCTAGTGAAGGAATTTGTAATGGTTTAGTAAGCAACTTCCAACATTTCCTCAAAATCAGGCAACATACATTAAACAAGGAACAGACAAAAAGGATGATTGTAGTATCATATCAATATTGAAATAACTGAATATAGCTAATTTATTATGCTTGATAATTGTGGCTCTGCAATTAAACATGATAAATAAGTTTTATTTGGAGTTCAATGCTAGCTTCCTTGTATTTTTCAAGATATTTTGTCTGTCTTTCTGTTTGTCTGTCTGTCTGTTAAGTACAGTGTGGGAAAGGAAAGTTCTGTCAAACTGCTAAAAATGAAGCTATTGAAAATATCCTTTTACTGTACATCCTGAACTGTTAGGATTTCCTTACCATTTCATTGCACCATGCTTTTTTTTATTGATATTTTAGTATGAGAAAGATTTTTAGATTTTTAGCCATTAATTTTGAATCCCATTACTAAAACATCACATGTGAATAAGTAAAAATATAATAATCAAGAAGAATGTTTATTGTTTTCAGGATTAAGGAATGAAGTTGTTGTGGATTACTTTCTAAACCATATCACAAGCATCCATCTCTTAAATAACCAACTGTAAATGATGTGTCCATTGAATGAAACAAACAAAGTCCTGCCAAAGAAGTCTGTCAGTTTTGAAACCTCTGAAGATGACCAAGCTAAGAATAGTCTGGAAGGCCTTGAGGGATCAGGCAATGAATTTGTTGATGTTATCAATCAAGAGTCAATATCAAATGATGTTGTAGGTGGAGAGGATGATCAATGTGGGGCTGAAATGATCAGGGGTAAGACATAATAAAATGATTCATTATTGTGGCTGTAATATTTTGGTAATACACAGTCAGTACAGTGGTGATTGCATGCATTCTCAATAATATAAAGAATGACAATGATGATAATGATAATACCTTTATTTTATATATCACCTTTTCCTTAAAATTCAACAATGCTTTACGAGTTATGACTATTCAGCAATATGTCCTTGAGGGCGAATGGTCTATTGACTCGTAGGCCATGACGGTGAGAGTCTTAGTCAAATCTAATTAGTCGGTCAAATGCAAACAGGTTTTGAATTAAAGTTAAGTTGCATTATTTTGGTTTTCGAAGCTGGCACTTTTCATTACTTAAAGGATATAACTTATAATGGTTTGCTTATAGCCTATTAGTAGTAGCTCATCCATTCAGAACCCAGCATTCATGATAGACCACAAAATGGATTTGACTAGTAATATTATTGTTAGTGTAACTTTAGCACGTGAAACCACTAATGGTCTATCTATAGTCAATAGTTTCTGATGCTAATCGTAAATTATTTTCCAGGGATTTAAAAATTTATTTTTATATTTTGCTGTGCAATAATTATGCATAATTTACATAATGGTTTTAGATATACGTGATTCAGGGCATGAACCAATCCTTAATTCTTAATAACCTTAATTGTTTTGTTTTTAAATTAGATACTCAATGCAGTCGTGTCTTGTCTACATGTAAATCTCCCATTCAACATGTATGTCCAAATGGAGAGAACATACTATCAAAAAAGCTCCGTGTCTCCAAGTGTGAACGATGTAATGAGGAATTTGATGGTATGGCTGCATTGAGACAACATTGCCGAGTTCTTCATGGAGACCAAAAGTATTATAAGTGTAATATTTGCAACAAGCTTTTCAGCCATCCTAGTAGCCGCAACATCCATCTCAGGCTGCACTCTGGTGAGAAGCCATACGAGTGTGAAACATGCGGCAAGAGGTTCAGGGTGTCTTCTCATTTAAAGGATCATATTCGTGTGCATACAGGTAAGTGCTATTGAACAGTGAAAAAATGCTACTTTATAACAATTTCTATAATTTTTTATCATTATCATTAAATAGATTTAAATTTGATTGAAGGAGCTATTTATACATTTTTAATATAGTGAATTTAATTTTTTGAGGAAAACATTTATCATGTAATTATCCATAAAATACCCATATTTCTCCTTTTCGAAAAACTGATATTTTCACATGTGAAAATATCATTACTATGTGTATTTAAGCAATTAGTTTATAAATAAAAACTTTTTCTAATAATAAAAAGCTTATTAAGTTGATTTTATGGATAATTAATATATAATAAACAATATTACATGGATGCTTGGAGATACGAAATTTATCTGCTCGTGTTGAAAATCTGTCACTCGTTCACTGCTCACTCGTGAGAGATCTTTTCAACACTTGAAGATAAATTTAATATCTCCGCGCGCCCATGTAATATCCTCTATTTATTTCACTGAAAAAGGTATAGACTGACATTTTTGTTATTACCTTATTATTGGTATATATACTAAAACAGTTATCATCAATCTAGGGAAATTTATTATCAATTAAGCTATTAAAAATATTTCTAATTATATCCCATTTGTTAATTTGTCATTTGTTTTTTATTATGTGTCAATGTTCCTGTAATTAGGTGTTTATTTTTATTTCTATTTCTATATTTTGTATCTCCATGAAAACTGAAATTATACTGAAGAATGATTTGCATTTTATTTACATTGTACTTCTGGTATCATCATGCTCGTGAAGAATTTCAATTTTGACAAAATGCATAATAAATCTTCAACTTTGCAGAAGTTTATAAATAGAATGGAAATTTGCTCTATGTAAGTTACATTTGACTTCAACAAGGATTTTTCTGAAATTATACTTCCAGACATTTGATAAGTAACATTAAATGATTTGACTCTGATATACATGGCTTGCTCACAGCTGGAAATTGTAAACACTTACTCCAACCACTCCTTAATTGTATTTAATAGAATTTTAGTCTTGAATATAGAGTTTCATGTACTGTGATTGGTCAAGTGACCAGTGATATTCAAGTCCAAAATTACATTAATTTAAAGCAATTTCTTATTCTTTTTAAAACAATTAGATTTATTGATAAAATTTCATAAGTATCTACTGGGAATTGTTCTAGACAATTAGATAAACTATATATTTTTCAAGAGAAATTAATTGAATGATTTGATTGCACCTGTTTGCAGGCGAACGCCCATATATCTGTGATATTTGTCAGAAGGGCTTCAAGCAGTCTAGTGATCTAAAGAAGCATCGCCGTACCCATACCCTGGACAAGCCCTATAAATGCCCTCTCTGCCCATCTGCCTTCACGCGCTCACATCATTGCCGAGGACATATCAATTCTGTTCACAAATTCTTTAAGTGTGTAACTTGCAGTGCACTGTTTACAACAGAGGAGGACTTTAACAAGCACAAAGAGCTTCATCCAATGTCAAAGGTGCAGAAGATAGCAGACAAAGGTGGTGTTGAGACAAGTGAAGTTCTTGGTCGTAGCTTGCACCCTATTCCTCCTAGTGAGCATCTCAAGGAAGTGCCACAATTACGCAGGCAAGAAGACAGAGAGACCAAGCTTCCTAAAGAGCCATGGCAAATGATGTCTCCTCCAAAAGCACATTCAGAAAGAACCAGAGATCACGTCAACAACTGTTTGTCAAGGTCAAGGGAGAATATTGCTTTGGCAGAGTTCATGGCATCCATGGCAGCTCAACGTTCAGCTGGCTGGTCAAGTAATCTGGTTGGCGGAGAAAAACAAACACACAACGACAAGGGTGAACATTCCAAATGTTTACCTGTAGTTAGTGATCCAGTGAGAGTACCAGAGCCAAGACAAGTAGATTTAAAGCATTTTACAGAACCATCTCATCAAGATGCTTCCCCTGAAAGTGGTAGTCCTCTTTGGGCGAGAAGGAAGTTTCACGATAAGGAGAAAGTATTAATAAATGATATCGATGGTCACAATGCGTTAAGAAATAACTTTAGGGAGTCAGGTTATGCAAGTCAAATGTATTGGGTTCCAAACCCAGACAGGAGCATCAGTTCTGTCGTCAGAGGTCAATATTCACCACAGAGAAGGGACATCAATGACATCAGCAAGAGAGGTATGTCACCTGTTCCACTAGCAATGCATCCACGATCTCCTAAGAAGGAGTTGAGTACATCCTCTGTTGAAGCTGCAAGGAGTTCTAATGATGCATGTGATACACTGGCGTCATTGACTATGGAACATAGCCAACCACAGTGCCATAGGGTGTCTGTCATTCACTACCATTCGAGTTCTGCTTCATCAGGTAAAAATGACCAAGGAAAAGAAATCAATGAAACCAAAGAAGAATCATCCAACAATAATAATTCTGATGAAAGGTCAGATCCAAGAAACAGTAGCCCTAAGAAGTCACCAATATGCGAAGACAGTGGGAAAACTGTTGCTGAAGACGTTAGGTTTGTTTATCATGGATCAAGCCATCCTCAGTTTCTAAGTGGTTTTAATGAACCTTTTATTCCAGCAGATGATAGGACAATAGGTGAACATTTTCATGAAGTTTCAAAAAAACCTTTTGGATTTTTTAACAAAGACTTACCTTCTGAACACCAGCTGGACAAAAACAACAGAACAAACTGGACTGGACACGATAGACTCACTATTTTACAGAAGAGAAGGTATGAATGCATTGATGCTAGTACTACAGATGATGTTATCAAGGGCTCACCTTACCTTAAAACAGAGAGGTACCCTTTGGAAAAAGTGATTGAGGTTGAAAATATTAAGACAGAACCTACAGCAGAGCCAGACATACACCTGATAAGGAATGACCCTGAAAATGAACAAGCTAGTCAGGATTCCCCTCTGTTTGAAAATCATTTGTTGTCAAGTAAGACGCTTGTAAAGAATGAAGGAGAGAAAGACCACGATGACGAAGAGCAGGATGCAAAATTGAGATTTGTTAATATTGCCCCTAAACCAGAAGAAAAGAAGGTTAAAGGTAAAGTCTGAGAACCTTTCTAAATATTGCTTTATCATATAATCAAAATAAAATTATTATCCTGGATCTGTGTTGGTCCAGAAATTATCCAATTATTCTTCCCCCCCCCCCCCACCCCCCACAGAGAAATTTTGAATTTCCTGGGGTTAGGGGGGGGGCCAGAGAAAGAACAAAATTACAGAGTTTTTCTAGAAGAAAATTGAAATTTCTGGGGGTAGGGAAAGGTAGAGGGACAAGAAATTCCTCCTTGGGCTTGCGTGGGGAGAGGGGGGTATGGATAATTTCTGGAACTACACAATGTGAGGTTAACCGAAAAATACGAATAAAATGCCACCAATTCAATTTAATTTAGAAAAGGTGTGTTTTTTTACGCAGGTAGCCTTGATAATTTTAGAGATAATTTTAAAAGGGGTCTGTGAGCAAACGAGATGTTTTTTACTTCCATTTTCAAATTTACACAGTCAAAAATATGAAAGGTACCGACTGATTAGGTTTGATTGACAGCAGTGAAAAACCAAATTTCAGCGTGCAGCTCCTATACACAGAGTTTGCAAAGCTTGATATCTCATTTGCTTTCACTAAGCAATTCAACAGCCGCCAATCAAAGAACTGAAATTTAAAAAAATAGATCTTGAGAGACATTTTTGACTGAGTTAAAGATTTTACATCCTCTGATACTCTAAAATCTCCCTCAATAAGTTCAGTTCTTTGCCCTCAAAATGGTAGCTGCAAACGAGACATCAAGGTTGCACTTCAACGACAATGGTAGTAAATCTAAAGAGTTTCTCTTGAAGAGCTTTCACTTTAACTTGAAATAAATTCAGTTGTCTGCTGTAATCTTTCAAAAGCTCGCCTCTCAACTCTGGGTTCTCAGTCTAGTTTTATATTTTTTTAAAGCAGTCATGGACTATGATAAACCATACAAGTGTACTGTGTGCAGCAAGAGCTTTTCACGAGCAAGTCTTCTCAAACAACACTCTGTTATCCACCAAGGAAACAAAAGATTTAAGTTTGAGTGTGAAACATGTCAGAAAATGTTCAGGACTCGTAGTCATCTCAGGGATCATGTGCGCATTCATACAGGTAAGAAAACCTGATGAAAATAGGAAAGATGGGAAAGAAATTTGATGGGGTAAATGGGAAGAATGGGGAAGGAAGTGGATGAAAAAAATGTGAATTAGAAGGGAATAATGGAAAACCACTATTATTAAATGCTACCTACACGCTACCTACGCGTGTGTGTGATTCAAAAGGTGCCAAAACTTCGGTCAATTGTTTACGAGTATTATGAGCCACACTCACCGGGCCTATCCGGGCCGATCCAAACGGGTGTAAATGACGTCAACTTGTTTGATTGACGGCAGTCTATTGCAAAGTGCACGTCCCGATTTTTGTCTGGGGTGGCCGCGTAGCAATGCAAACGCCGGTAATTTAATCAAAGTTGTTTTCCATTATTCCCTTCTAATTCACATTTTTTCATCTTTTCATTTTTTCACAAAGCTCTTTTTGAAAAAATGAATGAACTTCAAAACCTACTGGCCAAGAGTAATGTGAATTTCTTTTTTTTTTTATCAGGTGAGCGTCCTTTCAAATGTCACATCTGTTCTCGGGCTTTCAAACAATCCAGCGACCTCAAGAAGCACATTAATCTACATACTGGTGCCAATCAGTTCAAATGCGAAGATTGCAACATGGAATTTCGGCGAGCGGATGCTCTCAGGAAGCACAAACTTAGTCATCAAGCAGAAGGAACATTTTCTTGTGATTATTGTGGACAGGAGTTTGAGCATATTGGTGCTCTTCAACAACATCAGACTTTACATACAGGTAGGTTATAGTATTTGAGATTCTAATGGTAAATTTACAGCACAATGCGCAGCAAAAGAGTATCACCACTTTTAATATATTTGCATACTTCTTCTTCTTTAGTAAAACCAGCCAGCTTTGCATCAACATGTGTTGGTTTTACTGAAAAAGGTGTGTAAATGCTCTTTTGACAGCGGAAAGGCAGTAGGAGTATGCGAACATTAAATGTGGTCATGTTTTGTATGTTGTCATGCACCTTGTCTGCAGTTGTAAGGGTTTATGAGGGTTCATTCTGTTCAGCTTTTGTGGTTGTTTTTTTTTGCTTAAAATCAAAAAATGATTTTTGCACTTCATTGTAATCCCTGATTGCAGTCTGACCAAAGCTTTCAAAATTTATCATATTGATTAATAAGTATTATAAAATATCAGATGTCCAAGAAAATTGGGTCTAATTTTGAGCCTTGACTTATTATGGTTGTTTCAGGAACAACAAATCGGCAAGCAGCCAGGCCACTCTTAAGATGTAACTTCTGTTTCAAGACCTTCTCAAGAACTAAAGTAGAGGCTTTTCATGCTCATTGCGAAATGCACCGACAAGAAATTAAAGGCCAATCACTTCCACCAACCAAGGACATGCTAAACTGTACCATCTGTTCATTGACATTTACTGGTGAAAATGAACTGAGGGAGCACATGAATATCCACACAGGGAATAAGCCGTACAAGTGTGTAACTTGTAGCAAGGAGTTTTGCATCGCTGCTCATCTAAAGGAACACATGAGAGTACACTGTGATGCTGTTATGTTACAAGCGGGAGAATAGCTTCTAACTCTGTAAAATGATCAGAAGGTATAACAATATGGGTTGTTTTTGACTGAAAAGCAGTTTTTATATGGTATTGGAGAATGGAACTGTAAGCAGTGATAGTTTGAAATTTTAAAGCCCTTTATTTTCAAGATGGCTGTGTCATTTTAATGCAGTTGTGATATTGTCAGGTGCAGAATAAGGCACAAATGATATCTTAGCAATATTATTGCATTAGCATTGTGTGTGCAAATATAATCCCTAAAGGCTCAGTTACACAGAGCAATTTTCATGGCAACTTGTCTCGTAACGCTCTTGTGAGACATTGAGTTGCATGGAGCAATGCAGCATGTAGCCTACAATGCAATTTGAAACAAATTTGCAGCAATAATTTTGCAAAAAGTAGAATTTGTTTCTACTTTTGGCAACGATCTGTCTCCGTTGCACTTTGTAAACACTCTTGCAACTTGTCTTGCAACGTTGTTGTGAGACAAGTTGCAGAGATTGCTCTGTGTAATCATGCTTTAATTAACACTGAAACTAACCTGAAACTTAGTTTTGAACTCATTCTGTAAATAATTAAGGATGTTTTTGACTTTTCCTGTTAGCATTATTCATACTTTAAAAGTCATCTTGCTAGGATTAACAATCTGGTGCTTTTCTTACCCCAGTTCATTGCCAATTAATAATAGAGTAATCGATTTACTGGTCAATTAGTTTATTGTTTTGAAAGGCATGAATTGTACAAAGCACTTTTTTCTCCGACTCTCATTGTGTAGGTTTCTTGTGTTCTAACTTGTCATTCACCACCATCCATACATCGGTTCACTTGTCGTACACAAAGCATTAAATAGAGGATGCAAGGTAGTTTCAAAAATTTGTTCAAATTTTTACCTTGCAGCCGTTAATTTGTGTTCAACTAGTGAAACATTATGTATGGAAAATAGTGATTGAAGGTACCCAGGCTGTCATGTGTTCAACACAGGTACTCCAGCCTATCAAGGGTCCTACACAAGTAAACCAGCAATACTCCTTTTTACATTTCCGTTCAGTGACCACAACCAATAGTTCCTAGCCGAGGCTGGAGTTTCTGCACATACCAAAACTACAGTTTATTACGTGCGGTAACTCCAGCCTCGGCTAGGAACTTATTCGTGGTCACTGAATGGAACTGTATAAACGAACTTATTGTTGATTTGATTTCTTATAGAGCCTTTTCACTTGATGTAATAGCCGCCAAATTGTTGTTTTACCTAAACAATACATTTTCTATCCTCAGGTATTTAACAGAATATTGAAGGTTTCTATTGTTTTGTTTGGTACACCAATATGGCTGTCTTGTCATGTGAGTGAAAATAGTCAATATAAGACCAGAACCTTTTTATAAAACAAGAAACATTTCAAAAATAAACAGCCACATTGAGTCTTATGAATATTTAAAATTGCTAAGGAAAAAATGCTTGTTGTGTTAATACCTATCAGTATGTAGTAGTAGTTAAACTGAAATGTACATATTAAAGGCGCTGGTTGCCTTAAAAGTGTAAAGGCCGGCTGGTCCTGTGAATTGACACAATGAAATTGTATTTCATGCATTGACATATTCATTTTTCATGTCGCAAGCAAGCATCACACAGCTCATAATATAAAAAATATTCAGATCGTAACATAATTTAGAATTTATGCAGGTTTCGCTTAGCAAGCACCAGGAAAATTTGAGAAAAATTTGAAACACAAAATGAAACTTATATGTAAATATATATTTTGGTAGTTACAGATTGAAGTCACTAAACCTGTGAAAATTGACAATCAAGTAGACCCTTGAATTCCATTGTTATCATTGGTGTCTATTTGGCTATTACTTGCTGACTTGCATTTTTTATTTCACGGGTTGAATGCCTTCATTCTATGCTGCACTGTAAAGCAGATTTCTTGTGAGTACAAAATCTCTTGAATGGTTTCTTCTTAAAACCAATCAAAAACCATAACAGTTCACATGTATCCAATCACAGTGAGCTTGATAGAGGAATCCATTTAAGGGTTGAGACCCAACTTATAGGAAATCTGCTCTGCCATCATGCCCCATGTAAAAACTAACATTTCAAAAGTGTTGTGCAATAAACAGTTGTATATTATAAATTACGATGTTCTCATTCAACTCGTTAATTTGGTGCAATAGAACGAATAACAAGAGCATAGCTAGGACTGTTCTCACTGTGTGGGCTGGGTGGAAGGGATCGATCCATTGTGTATATGCAGTCTAGGTTTCTGATTGGCTCTTAACTACCCAATATTGAATGTATTGTTTTCATTCTACATTTTAATTGGTTCTCTTGTCTGACTGGTCTAAGTGGCCCCGGTTACAGTAATTGCACTGTAAATCTAAGTGAGGACGTCATCAGGCTCACTCACAAATAATTCACCATTTTCCATAAATCGGTTCACTGATCAAACACAAAGCATTCAGTCAAGTTTGCAAGGTTCAAATTTGAATAATCCTTTGAAAGTACCTTGGTGCCTCGATTGAGCGCTTTGTGTTTGACCAGTGAACCAATGTATGGAAAATGGTGAATTGAACTGGAATTTTGTGTGTTGGGTTTTGCAGAGGGGGTGGGGGGCTGGTGGAACGAGCAACCGGCACCTAAAAAAAGGGGTGTGACTCAAAAAACTATACTTCACATAATAGAATGTTTGAGTCCAGCTTGGACTACTCAAGACTGCTAAAAAAGATTGTACCCCAGCAATAAAAACTAGAATAGTATTGTATATTTTGATGTTATACAATATTATACATTTAAATACATGGAAGATATAAACATTGTTGGAATAAACCAAAGCTTTAATAAAACATTTTCATCATATAGCAGAAAAGAAAAATGTTATCTATGGTTAACAATATGAAACTTTACTAGCGGCGTATTTGAGCCATAAGCAGTCACTTTATACTACTCTTATAAAATGGTTAAGGATTATTTTGTGCAAGGTGTCTCTTCACAGAACTTTGCAGTTTTTTAATATCTGTATGAAAACTTTGAATATCAACTCTTTCTTAAGATTAAGAAAAGATTTCTCTACACCAGGATGACGTCACGAGAAATACCTCAAAATAGCATATGAGCTTCTAGATTTTTACATTCTTAAGAATTCATTTCTCAAGTTTTTTAAGTATTTCAAATGCAGGTTTCACTTAATTCATTAACAGTTGGAGGACAGCTGTCTTAAAGTATAATATCATAAAATACAACTTAAGATTATTATAAATATTTCAAAAAACATTTTGCTTTAGATAGCAATCCAATCTGAGGCTAGCTTTATGAGAAATTAATTGATCTTCCATTGATATTCACACTATATAAATTATATAAGATATATTCCAAGTCCACTTGAATAAATAAACTGATAAATGTTTAACATCAAAAATGAAGTTCTGATTATATGTCTGCTTTTGGTCTATACTTTTTATAAGAGACAATTTAATTCAGATTTAGTAATGGGATGTGCTGTGTATTCCAAATTCCTATCTTGAACACTGTCTGTAAATCATGTAATAATACTAACATAAACATATTGCACTTGGTGCAACAGCAGTTTTTGCCACAGCTTTTAACACAAACTTGGTAGCTGTGAGCTACTTAGACTGGAATTTGGTTTTTCGCTGCAATCAATCAAAAGTAATCAGTTGGCACTTTTTACATTTTTTGACTCATAGCAGTGAAAACCAAATTCAAACCAGCAACTTGTGACTACAAAGTTGGTGTAATATCAAAATCTGATATTCAACTACTCATGTCCATTTAATATATATATATATATTTTTACCACGATTGTAAATTTTCTCGCGCGCTGATTGGTTAAAAAATGTCGTAAATAAGAGGCCATACCAACAAATGGCGTCATGCAAGATTTCGTGCAGTCTATTTCCTAGAGTTTTGTGAGTTTTGTAGTAAAAAACAAATTTACGATGGTTTAGCGTGGTATGTCCTCTTATTTACCACGATATGACGCCAAACGTTGGTCAAAATTAGTTATGGACCCACTCGGCTTACGCCTCGTGAGTCCATAACATTTTGACCAACTTTTGACGTCATATCGTGGTAAATAAGAGGACATACCACGCTCAACCATCGTAAATTTGTTAAATATACAGTATACAGAATAAACTGGCCATGGTCGTTAATTTACAACCATATGTTGAATATGATATTGCTCAAGGCACTAGTTCCTAGTACTGGTCTTTACATCAAGATATTTTGGTGCAAGCAATTGCATCATGTGTGCTACCATATCAGACAAGTCATACTTGTGTTTCCATTCCCAGTCAAGCCGAGCATTGTGATCATCTAGAACTTCTGGCCAACTGTCAGCTAGAAAAGATATCAAATTGAGGACCATTAGAAGACTGCAGCAACTACACTAAAGCCATGTACCAGTAATCATATTGTTACAAGTCGCTGGAAGTCATACTTCAAAATGACTGACAACGAAAAGAGTTTATCAGACAAGTTCAAATTATTATGGCCCAACAATTGTCCAATGAGCTGCCATTATTTTTAGGCCTACTCTTACACTGTCCATTACAGTTGAATGTGTGACACATGCAAGCTGCATGAAATATATACCTAGTGTAACATATACTGTGTTGTTGCAACTCCCAGGGGGTACTCCCATATATGGACTATACGGGATGATCCGCTGAACAGGGTATGGTTTTTCAAGCTTGTTGTCATAAACAGGATGTGTAATTTTGCTCAAATTCCAATTTTTTCCCCGAGTTTCCTGTCATATTCAGGGTTTCTACTTTTGTATTGACCAAAACTGGTTACTATGGTCTTCAAAAAAACGATACACAAGATGACATGATAATTGAAACAGAAACTCAGTGCAAGAAATCATATCTTTTATCATAAACAGGGTCTACAAATTTGTGTTTTTTTTGTCATAAACAGGGTACCCCTTTCTGAATCCTAGCGGAACACCCCTACCCAAATCCTGGTGGAGTACCCCCCTGGTTGCAACTGCTGTTAGTCATAAGCCGACATTGCATTTGCATCTCAAGATTAGGAGTGCTTACCAATTAGTTGTCTCTCATCAGGTTCATACTCTATTTGGAAATGAGGAATAAACTTCTTTATTTCCTTGGCCAATTCCTCAGGAGTAAAACTTATAGCACCAAGGTTATAAGTTCTTAGTTTTAATTTTTCTTGTGGAGCTTCCAGAAGCTCTATTGTACCTCTAAGACAGTCAGGAATATAGATCATTGGCATACGAGTGTCCTTGCGTAGGTAGCATTTGTACTTGCCAGTTCTTAGTGCTTCATGAAAAATGTTAACTGCATAATCAGTTGTTCCACCCCCTGGCTTGGAATCAGCAGAGATTACTCCAGGGAATCTTGCTGAGCGGAAATCCAAACCATATCTGTGATGGTAATACTGAAATAATCCAGAAAGCAATGTTATAATTAATAATGTTGACTCTGCCATTTGGGGAGAAAGGGTATAACTAAGGCCCAGGGTAAACGTCAGACTAACCTCGCACTGAACCTATTTAACATGCTCCGAAAAATTCAGATATGCAAATTAGAAGTTTTGATACCATACAGTTTTTGAAAATACGCTTGATTACATGTAAAGATGGCTGCTTCTATCACATATCAAACTTGTCTACAAATTTCCCGACTTTCAGAAAAAAGCTTACTGAATTGCTTTCAATCAAAACATTTCAAATATCTGTCTTTAATTTGGTTTTGTGAATTTTTGAAGCAAGAGGATGTTGTTTTTACTTGAACATAATTTGTCAAAAAAATCATTTGAATATTCTGGAGCATTGCACTAAAGAAATGTATATGGCTGTTACACGTTTCAAACCTCTTATGATTGAGTTTCTGGGGAACTGCTTGACTGCAGTAACTACATGTATATTTAATAATGTACCCAATTCTTTACCTCTCCTAAAAGTTCCATGTGGACCTTAGAAACACCATAAATCGTTTTTGGCCTCTGGATTGTGAGATCAGGGGTGGGGTTCCTTGGTGTGTCAGGGCCAAATGCACCAATAGTACTTGGAGAGAAGAGTCGCAGGTTATATTTTCGACACACTTCTGTGATGTTATGGAAGCCATGAATGTTAACCTGAAGTGCTTGATGGACATTCTGTTCACCAATAGCACTCAATAGGGCACTAAAATGAACCACCCAGTCAATATCATAATTGACAACAATAGACTGGAGACTTTGGAAGTCCAGAACATCTGCATAGATGTAAGGCCCTACAACAAAGGCATAATAATGAACATTATTAGATATTTATGTTTTTCATGCTTTCTAGTTAAAATGTCGATATGAATATTCATTTATGAGCACTTCAAAGACTGTCCCTCGTGGGTGTGAATTCCCTTTACCCGTTAGCACTTAATCCACTCAAGGGAAGGATGTTAAATATCAAAATGAATCATTTTTACTATGATTTCATAGTACTAGCAGCATTTCTATAAGTATGGCATATATTTACAGGTGTTAAAATTCTCGTAATTTTTTTAACATCCTCATAAAATTCAATTTGACAAGATGGCTGATAATCCTTATGCGACTTATGTCGATAGAATATCAGAACATATACTCTAAAACGGCTGGCTATAATCCAAAAAATATCCGCTATTATTGRATCACTTATATAAGCCCTGATTTGGAAGCCATTCTTTACCTTCTTCATGGACCTCTGGAGGGGCTTTCGCGATGTCAGACATGACGACAGATTCTCGGCCATATTTGTCTCTATAATCAATCCAATATGAAATGTAAATAGTGATTTCATCAACAAATTAAGATCGTAATATATAATATTTGAATGTTTACATTTGGGACGAAATTTTAAGGTTTAATTCCTTTCCATTTGCGCTGTTGCCCCGAGGTTTTAAAATCTTTTTGATTCGATCGATTTGTCTGGCAGAACGTAGACGCATACGAAAAAATATTGTTTTGTACTAAGCTAGCAACGATCAAATAATGGTTGAGTAAAAACAAACCTAAAGTACTTTAGGTGAACAGTTTTACTTGTAAAAAACTATATGTATATTAGCTGAATTATCAACCAGTGTTGGAACTATTTATTACGCAATAGTCAAATATTAACTTTGTTCAAACGATAATGTTTGATAATGATGATTGTGACTTTCACGACAAGGTGAAGACTTCTATAGTCCACCTTTGGTACCAAATGATAAAGAAATTTTTTCGAAGGAAACTTGTAGAAAGATCTAAATAAATTTGCCCGATTCGAAAAAAGTTGTTGACACGAAACGACGTCGTTTGACCAAGATATTAATCTTACATGTGTTTCGGTAAATTAAAAGCGAAAGATCTAGTTTTATGATCTTACCGTAATAACCTAGCAAGACCTGTTCCAAGTTGACCAAGACTGCCTAAGTAAGAAAAGAGATTCTTAGTGGAAAAAATTGAAGTGGAATTGATATTCCGTGTTCTCGTCCTACCAAAAACAACAGGTTAAAATTTGTCGCAAAGAAAAAAACAAAACAAAACAAATTCAACATAACAATTCAACAAACAAAATTCGTTCGAGGATTAACCACTTATGAAGCTATCGTAAGAGTCAATACTGAATTCATTTTGACAAAAAAACAATGACTACACGAGGAAGGAAGAAAAAAGTTGTCGTTTCATCTCACCTGTAATAAGAACTCTCGGTGTCTGTACTTCCTTGTGGAATGAGCGGTTTAACAAAATATTTCCAGTCGAACACAAATATCGAGACAATTTCGCGTATCTTGACAACATAGCGTCTCCTAGTTTTTTCAGAAACCAGATATTCTTAAATTTAGTATTCAATTTTTAGCGTTCCTTCTCAGTCGGATTCTTGTTCAACTAGAGAACAGTGAGCGTAACAATATGAATACCACAGAGGCATGACAGGGGTGTGTTTGAACATTCTTACCAATCAGGGATGTCTTCTATTTGTGGCGGGAGAATGGCATATTACGTAAGGCGTGACAAGATTGCGTGACTCTAGACGAAATGTTGAATTACACGTAAGGTTCAAAAGGGACAAGGTTTCAATATTCACGTTGCCAAGAAATTACTTTTTATTTATGGGTCGTTAGAAAGGTTACAGAGTCATTTATAAATTATTTTCATAGTTATTGATAAGATTTATTGAGATTTTTACATGAAACTGGAAAAAGAATTTTAAAGATAGAAAAGGAACTTAAAAACCAGGGCAGTTTTGAGGATTTGCGTGTTTTGAGTGATTGTCATGCGCTTTATGACGTCAAATTGAGCACTATGTGTGGGAAATTGCATGAAACCAACTCAGTAAATACTCAGAGGACAGCTAATATGATGGGTAGTTAGAAACACCATTAACCAAAATATCTAGGACGCTAAACTAAACTATATTTGCCTCCAAAACTGTTTTTGGGCTATTTTTAGTGCGAAGATAGATTATATTTGTTTACAACCTTACTCTCACATCTTCTTTTAAACTAGCTGAGTTTTCCAGTTTCGATTGAAAAAAAAAAAAAGAATCCCGGGATATTCTAATTTTCTTCTAAATATCTGTACTAGAGAAGCCTGTCGAACTAAAGGGGAGAGCCACAAGAATTTATTTGATATATTTAGTAAATGTATAAATATATAAAGGGAATATGTAAATGAAGAATTTTTATGACGAACAGCTGAAACGGAACACAAAGTTGGGTCTTTCGACCTCCCCTCCCCCCTAATAACAAATGACAAAACCCTTCACAAAACTCAAAGAAAAAAGACGTCTTAAGGCTATGGAATGTCGTGGGAAAAAGACCGTATTCCGAAAAAAAGAATTTTTTGAAATTTTACAAACGGAAATCCTACTTGCAGCTGAGTCACTCATCCTCATGTCTTCAATAAACATTTGATTGAGAAATTCATAATAAAAGAGTACATTCTTAAAGCTCTTAATGTGAATAGAAAAATTCAATGTTTTTCTTGAGCTTGAGAATCAAAAAGAATTGGTTTTTCTCTTTAAGCCCTAAGTTGTTTTTTTTTTTCGGAAATAACGCGGTACATGATTATGTACGAAATACCAACCGGAAGTCATGATTACTAGACAACCGCGGGAATGTCGCGGGATCAATCCCGACACCGCCCCCTAATATAGTGGCTTTATTATACTTCGAGTCACGGTGAAGTAAACTTCGTTTGTATTTGAAGAGTTACACGCAAACTGTCTAAATACAACAGGATCGTGATTGATAGCCATCAAGCAAGAAGGTATATATTTGGATTGTAGCTATTTTTGTTGCTGAGGAGTTAACATAAATTATTTTTCATGCGATGGTTTTTCGAACTGTCAAAGCTACCGGCGTCTTGATTGCTTTGCGTTGACTTTTCCATCTTTCCATGATGAATTCATCTCACCATTCTTTTCCCCAGGCTGAGAAGACTCCTATTATAACCAGCTTTAAGATGGAGAGTGGGCTCCACACCAGAGACAAAGCTGGAGTGCAAGATTTTGTGTTGTTAGAAGACTTCACAAGTGAAGATGCCTTTATTGACAACCTGCAGAAGCGCTACGATTCTGACCTTATTTATGTAAGTCAGCTTGTAAAAAAAGATCTTTGATCCGATGAAATATTAAATCCTAAAATCTAGATAAATTAACGCAAAATCGGAAATCGTCGAATAGCCGCTATGAATCTGGTGAACAAAATTAAAAATATTTCGTAAGTTCATTAAGTCAATAAGGCTTAAATATTGATATCAAAAAAGATTTTTTTCGAACTCTTGAATATTTGCGTTTATTAAAACGATCCGATTTGCTTGTTTACTGTTGATACTTGTATGGATATATCATATCATTCGTATTGTTTTCAGTTTTCATCTTTAATCTTTATATTTCTTGGTGAATATCAGTTTACTAATGTTGTTTGTTGTTGTTTTTATAGACTTACATTGGGACTGTCGTTGTATCGGTCAACCCCTATCAAGATCTCTCCTTATACACCCCTGAAATGATCGAAAAATACCGAGGAGAAAACTTATATGAACTTCCACCTCATATGTAAGTAACACTCTCTGTTAATTTTATAAAACAATTCTTGGCAAGCTATGGAAAATTCAAATTTTGGAACAAATTCCATCACACTTGCAACAAGGAAATTGAAGTTTTCAAACTTTTTTGCTACAAAATAAAAAATAAGATTTTTATATTTTATATAATTTTTGGTATCTTATTAACTGTTTAAATGGTGCTAGATTTTTATTGTGGAGTAAAAACTTGGATTATTTTTTTGAAGCTGTGAAGTTTCTTATGTTTACTTTCATTTATTTGGTAACGTAGCAATATATACGACGATTGTTAATAAAATTTATTCATGTCATAACACTAATGATAAATTATTTAAAATCAATATATGATAGAGATATTCAATGCACCTACCTTCGGAAATCGTTTGAATAAATTTATTGTTGTAAAATTGATAAAAATAATTTGTGAAATTTGATGTTTCTAGCTGTTAGGTATATTCATAATTTATCGAAATATTTTTCCTTTTTAGAATGTTTGTGTGAGATTTTTTTAACTATTAGATCGTGAAGCTTCTGTAAAAAAATTCTGGAATTTGTCTCAGACATTGTCAAATTTTTCCTATATTAAGAAATTTTGTTAACAATAGAGCTTTATTCAGCTTCATATGTCTTGGGGTTTTTGAAAGGAAGCATGAATCAGATGTATGAGGATATATGGTGATGTCTATAAATGACGTCCATGGTCTAATGAATGTCTCTTATGGAGAGAATTCATTTGACAGACAATATATTTTTTGATAACTGGAGGAGGGGGGTCTTGGCCTTGTATGCAGACAAGCAGACACTGGGGATCACAGATGAGAGTAAGGGTCAAGATTACTATGCATGTTGAGAGAATTTAATTTTCAGGGCATTTTCTGTGTTTTTTGGGGAGGGAAGATGGGAAGGGAGAGGGTAGGGGAAGGGGAGGGGAAGGGGAGTGGGAAGGGGAGGGGTAGGGGGTAGGGATCCAAGCTCTTGTTAATAAACATTTGTATGCATGCCAACAAGAGAAACCGAAAGCATAATCATATAAGCTAGGATTAGATTATCACCTATGTACTTTCTATAGGATAAATAAAGTGCCAAATAAAGAAATATTCTATATTATTGTATGAGACAATATATTATTTTTATAGTATAAAATTGAATAAAAAAAGCTTTCTAATTTAATACAATTCTATCTATAATCTATACTATAATATTGTTTTACATATAATTATGTAATAGTGCAAAGTAGTAAAACTTCACTCTGCAACTCAAAAAGCAACAGAATTTAACAAGTTGCACAATTTTTTTGTTCTTATTACTGAATAGATTTAAAAAATCATGACTTCTAAGTTGAGCATTGCATGAAGAAAAGTTATTCTAACCCCAATAGGGTATCGATAGATTATTAAAAACCCCTAATATTGTCAATCTGAATTGTTGTTTTTAAAACAGTTATGCAATTTCTGATGAAGCATATCGTTCCATGAAGGAGGAACGACGGGATCAGTGTATATTAATTTCTGGTGAAAGCGGAGCAGGAAAAACTGGTAAGACACCCAATGTGTGGTTCTAGAAATTATCCATCCCTCCCCACCCCCCACAGAAAAATTTGAAGTCTCCAAGGGGTAGGGGGGTCAATGGAAAAATAGAGAGTTTGTATAGAAGAAAATTGGAATTTCTAGGTTAGGGGAGTTTTTAAATGGATAATTTCTGGAACTAAACGATAAATGTTAGCTGTTTTACAGAAGTTTAGGGGATTCAGGCAATTGTGGATCCAGCCAAAATTTTAAGGGGGGGGGGGGGCTAATCAAGTTTAGGGGGGGCCTAATTGAGTTTCTTCTGTCAACACAATGGAAAACAATAAAAAAAGCATCTAATTCTTCAGTTTTGTTTTGTTTTTTTTCTGCTGAATCCCCCCTGGATCCGCCCTTGTCAGGCTCCAGTCTTTCTCACCTTTTCACTTTTTGTATATTTTTGTACATATTCTAGAGGCATCTAAGAGAATTCTTGAGTATCTTGCTGCCATAAGCACATCGTCATCAGAAGTGCATAGAGTCAAGGATAGATTGCTCAAATCTAACCCTGTGTTGGAGGTAAAGTTATGTTGATTGCTAGCAGTGGATAATATAAGGAAGGGGAAAGAGGGACTATGTAATATCCTGACCCACCCCTAAAGAAGATTGTATCTGATTGTATCACTAAAAGTTATTGACACATTCTTTTAACATGGCTTACTCCCCCAGCGTTTTTATTATTGTTGCTTTATTACTTAGATTATGCATCTGTTTTATACAAATATGTTCCGTGCAAACATATTTTGGATATGCTTCTGCATTTTGCCAAAAATAATGTGTATCAGTATTTGTAGAAAATATCTAGTCCCCTTGCATCTTTGGGAAATCAAGCTGCTAGATCCTTCTTCCCTGAGTTAGTGGGTCAGATCCTTTTAGCCTCAAGATTTTAAATCTTGATCAGGAAAACCAATATTTTGGACAATGTAATATAGTACATTTGGTTGATTTTTTTTATAGGCCTTTGGAAATGCACGAACCAATCGAAATGACAACTCCAGTAGGTTTGGGAAGTACATGGACATTCAATTTGACTTTAAGGTTTGTGCATAACATGTCCTCTTGTCTTATCTCCACTCATCTCATCTCCTTTCCTCTCATCTTATCTCCTCTCATCTTGTATTCTTTGAGGGCCACGTGTTGGATAACTCTCTGGGTTAATTGTGTCACACTCCTTAAATAAAAGTTTATGGTATTGTATTGTATTGTATTCTGTCCTTTCCTCTGTATCATCTCATCTCATCTCATCTCATTTCCTCTCATCTCATCTCCTCTCATCTCATATTGTCTCCTATCCTCTGTATCATCTCATCTCATCTTGTTTCCTCTTCCTAGCCCTAATACACTTCCATAGTTACAATTAAGCCTTCATTTACATTTGGCATTGTCAGATTACCAGAGTAATTGATCCTTTCTCTGTGTTATTTTATATAGGGAGCTCCATTCGGGGGACACATTCTGAACTATCTTTTGGAAAAATCAAGAGTTGTCCATCAAGCTAAAGGTAAAATAATGACTATAAAATACCAGCTGTCTTTTCTTTATTTTCTTGACATTTAAAAATCCATTATCTCGTAGGAGAAAGAAACTTCCATATTTTTTACCAACTGTTGCAAGGTGGGGATAAGGACCTTCTTGAAAAACTGCAACTGGAGAGAGACCCAAACGAATACTTTTATCTGAACCAAGTATGATATCATTAATAATAGATCTCTTTATCCTGGGCGTAATGTTTTCCCATTTCAGACCACATGTCATTTCCTAGAGTATCAACTCTTTGTTTAACGGTGCAAAAAATCTTATTCTCTAGTGAATTGCATTTGGTCTGAAATTGGAAAAAATTATGCCCAAGCTTAAAAAAGGGTTATTTCGCGTCTGGTTTGAAAGTTATTCTCTACTACGCGCTTTTGATAACGGTTTTATTGCGATGTTACACGCAAAGATTTCTCGTGCAATGTTTCTCATGAACAACATTATCGCACTTTGTAGAAGACTATGTTACTCGAGGAAATTCAGTTGGAACTTGCTTTGCATAAAAACGTGTTGCAAAAAGAAGGTCGTTCTACTTTTCCAACAACTAATAATCAGGAAATAGAACATGACGTGTGTTTGTCACTTGCAGTAATACAATTTTTTTGCGACACACCTTGCTCAAAAACGTTAGCAGCAACAACAACGACATCATCATCTATATACATCACAATAACTGTGCTATGAATAATACCAACAACAACAACGATAGCAACAACAACAACAACAGCAGCAGCAACTTGACAACAACGGAGTCATCATCATATCATCATCAACAACAACGCTGGCTAACAAGGACAGCAACAAAAACAACAACAACAAAATCAGGGATTAGCAAGGTTAGCAAAAACGACAAGTTCATCATCATCGACACAACAACAACGTCTTGAATAACACCAGCAACCTCACCAGCAACGAAGACAAAAGCAACGACATCATGAATAAAGACTACCATCAACAACGACGACAGTGCATGAGCGTATGACACATGAAGAAACCTCGTGCAATCTGCAACATGCTTTTTTTGCGAGACACCTTGCACGAAAAAACTGTTGCATGTAAAAGCGTCTTTTACTATAAAACCACTTAGCACAACTTAAACGCAGTGTTGAGATCTGACGGATTTGACTGTTTAATTTTCCAGGGTGAATGCGTTAAAGTGTCATCTATCAATGACCAGTCTGACTTCAAAGTCGTAAAGAACGCTTTGTCCGTCATTGAGCTGACAAAAGAAAAGCAGGATGCCTTGTTCTCCATTGTTGCCTCTGTTTTGCACCTGGGTACTCTTTCCTTTCAAGAGATAACTGAGGGAAATGACCATCAAATCACGATAGAGAATGCTCGCCCTGTTAACATCATATCCAAGGTAAACAAATACTTCTTTCCGCAGCTTTAACGTTGACAACCAGAATCACCATAGCCATGTTGTGGGTCAAAACGATAGAAATGTTCTCCTTTGATAAAAGAAATATATTATATCAAGGTGTAGAATAGTTTCTCTGGTATCAATATGAGATGAGGTTGTTTTGCGTGCCATAGCGGGAGTATGGAGCTCAGAAAACAATCCGGGTCCCTGATGTTGAAGTTGCCCCAAACGAGCCTAGATTTTATGGGACTCGAATTTTTTCTCAAGTTCCTTTACTTTCGCTGTGACACGCTTAACTATTTCATCTCCATCTTTTTATTAAAGATATTCACATTGAACAACAAGGCTTCCATGAAACGTCGTTTGTATTATGTAAAGGGGATTTCTTTTTTTCCCAGCTGCTTGGATGTCCAGAGGATGTGTTGGAAGCTGCTCTCACATCAAGAACTGTTGAAGCCAAGGGAGAGAAGGTATTGCTGACGGAACCAGTTTGATGGCGTAATTTCAGACCATGTCTTATTTTGGTCTCATCCATAGTATATTAATGCCGTGTCTATCAAGTGTTAACGGTAAACACCAAAATAACACTCGAGGGAATGACACATGATCTTGAATATAAAAAAATACTAAATCGCTGTATTTTCAATTTCAAGGGAGGTGTAACGGTACCATTGCACTCGCCTCTCCCCTCTCGACTCACGGGTTCAATTCAATTGATCCGTGAGTTAGCCGTGTCCTGACTTTGATCAGCCCAGCGGCTGTTAATCCAGGGTAACGATAAAAGTTTTTAAGGTTTTTTTTTTGAAGGTTTTAAGGTTTGAACTGTCCGCTGCCCTTCTACGAGAAGGAACGAACAATAATTACCTATTCAAGCCACTTTCGTGCTCACTTTCAACCAACTTCCGTTAGATATAAGACATTGTTTCAATTTCGGAGAGTTTGAGGCAAAGGCCAAGCGCCAATTTAAACGCTAGAAAGGACTATACGCATTGTCTTGTTTTGAACTACTATTATATTGTATCCGTAATTTGTAATTCATGTAGTGTTTATTGACTTTGTAATTATATCTATTTTATGCAGGACTCTATTTAAACTAGCCTGTGCTAAATTAGATGTTCCTGTTAAAATATTGAATAAGATAAAATAGAATAAGATAATTAAATCTCCCACTTGAGCATAACAAGTTAGTGCCTATAAATACGATACGCTAGTTAACAGTACTTGATCATTCTACTTGTTTTTAGATGAACACTCGTCTAACTTACGACCAAGCACTGTATGCACGAGATGCCTTGGCTAAAGCAATCTACGATCGTTTGTTCACATGGGTTGTACGCAGTATCAATGGCTCACTGCAAAGGAAGGTTGGGTTGTTACTGAATCTGTTATTATATTCTTGGGTTGCGTGTGATGTCATCACCACCGTCCTCCTCCTAATCACCTCCATCACTAACATCACCATCCCCCAACACCATTATAATCATCATCACCACCAACATCATCATCATCATCATCATCACCACCATCACCATCACCATCCTCCTTATCAACTCCATCACTAACACCACCATCACCACCAACACCATCACAATCATCATCGATATCAACCACCACCATTAGTATAGCCACCATCATCATTGTCATCATCGTATTCTAAACCACCTTCAACAACACCATCCACATCTTCGTCATCATTACGTACCATCATCATCATCTCTATTACACCACATGCATATGCTTCCATCTACTCATGTTTATTTCGTTTGTATTTTTTTTATAGAAGCACAACAGTCCTATTACCTTATTGGGATTACTTGATATTTATGGCTTTGAGATTTTTCAGTCTAACGGGTAAGACATCGAGTACATTCTGTTTTTTAAAATGATACATTCTATGCTTTGTTTGTGGCAATTGTGGCATAAATTTTGGCTAAGTTCGTAGAGCATCTGTCTGTTCCATGAAAGGTCGTGCATGAGTTTTTAGCTCCAGCATGCAGGCCCGGGGGGGGGGGGGGGTACTACCACCCCAACTTGGGTAGGGGTGTGCCGCCAGGACCTCAAAACCCTGACCCTATCCCAGACCTAAAATTTTGATTTTACATACCATACCCCAGACTAAAATTAAGAATTGTACACCCTATCCTAGACTAATAGAGGGAAAAGACGGCTATTCAATAGAATGCAATCAATATTTATTAACGTTTTTATTGTTTTTGTGCCGTCAGAAAGCGTAGCCTATTCGCCATACAAAAACGACCAATTCGTCTACCCTATCCCAGACAAAAATGATACCCTATCCCAGACAAAATGTCAAAAAATGATACCCTACCACAGACCCAAAAGCCGAAAAACCATACCCTATACAATACAATACAATACAATTTTATTTGGCACCTTATACTAATAGTACATGAGTGTTTGATTCCAAATATATTATAGGTATATATATATATACTATGTATTAGATAATTTTCTTAATTCATTTTTACGTATCAGCATACATTGATGAATGTATGCTGATATGGCTCTTTGTAGAGACGCTGATTTTGAATTGATTAAGAACATAAAACGACTGTCAGCGCTCATATTGTTGAAATTAATGCTGGTGTTTTTTTCTATGAACTCTCTTAAGTCGTTTCTATGAGAGT